ACACACACACACACACACACACACACACACACACACACACACACACACACACACACACACACACACACACACACACACACACACACACACACACACACACACACACACACACACACACACACACACACACACACACACACACATATATATATATATATGGATATGGATGTGTTTTATTTTTATACATATTTACAAACAGACACATATTTTTATATGAATATTTGTGTTTGCATATAGCTAAACATGACGGCAATTATGTTGCACACGTTATATATTGTCAACTAGGTTTTCTGTATGTAGTTATGTGCTGTTAATTTTCTCTGAGATTCGAATACATCTGCACACGTGTTTATATATGAATGTGGTCAGAGTTTTTCTTATTTGTACTGAGTGTGAAGGTGACAAGCACACGGGTTTTAGGGGTTAGGCTTTCAGGATTTAGGGTTAGGATTTAAACGAACATACACAAGAAATGTCTATCGGTCTCAGGTTTACTTGGTTCAAGCTTTCTGAATTGGTACTAGGTGTGAGGGTATCAAGCACACTGGCTATTATATTGCACACCAGCGTACTACAAACACTAACAGTAACTGATTGTCGGTCTCAGGTCTACTTGGCCAAGGACTTGGAAACCGGCGAGATGGTGGCCGTAAAGCAAATCAAAACCAGATACCTCACAGACGAGGACATCGAAGGTCTTGACAGTGAAATCAGTGTAATGAAGACCCTGGATCATCCGCACATTGTGAAAGTAAGTGCACGATTTCAAAGCGTACGCTTGGAGTTCCTATCCGTTTTGTGTACGTATACAAGGAGTGATTCATTGCACACCGGCCCACAGAACAGCACCGGCGAGTGACTCTTGTGGATACACCTCCACTCACATCTCTAGTTGCTTTGCTTCCGCGGTACGTGACACCCATGCCACGGTCTAGTTCATACGCTCACTTATTGTGCTGCAAGTTAACATACCCCGATAACACGTGACAGTTCTTTTGTATGTTTATAGCGTCGTATCCGTGCATCTCTTTTGCATCGCCCGCGCAGGTGTGGAGCGCGTAATAAATCTCTATACTTTTCATGTGCGAGTTTATTTCCCTTTCTCCGAAATTTTTTCTTTTTGGTCTAAGAACGACCTTATTTTTTTGGGTCTTGGTATGTCCTAATCTGTTGACGCTGTGTTTTTGTCTCCAACAATCACTGCATGCTGTTTTGTGCAGTGTTTGAGTTTATTTCTGTTTGTTTGATCTCTTCACACAAGGTTAATTGCTAAAAAAAGTACTTCACATTTTTGAGTTTTGATTATGCCACCTTGCCGTCGGGCCGCATGTGTTCGAGAATTGGTCTATTTGTGTAAAGATAGGTGGATAGATTAGTTTGCAATAAACCTCGGTGTGTATTTTAACCATATAGACACGGTCAGGATATTGTTCAGTTTCTAACTCGAGTGTGTTCGAGTTTTGAATCAGCTGTGGCCGGACTTATTACGCAGTAGCTCGACTTATTACGCAGTAGCTCGTCTATCCACCGTCTTGTATGTGCGATTCGATGCCATGTTTCTCACTACACATACAACCTCAAACCATGCACAAGCGAATCATTTATGTAGGTAGTAGCCAAGACTTTGGCTTAGGAAGCGTATTATTTTGCCAAGGAGTGAGCAGTCTTTATATGCGCTTCCACTTGTAGCTTGAGGATAGTATCGCCTTTGTTCTGCCATACTGCATTTGGCTGCCTTTATCTCAGATGACTCAACTCTTTTAATTTACTTTTATCTTTTACTATTGCAGCTTCTTGACTTCTTCGCTACTAAATCACACTGCTACGTGGTGCAGGAAGTAGCCATGGTATGTTTTTGAGGAGCTCCAAGGTGAAATGTTCGGTACATGTTGGCGTTTATGTCTGGGAGGGTTTTTTTGGCCACGTTTTGGATTGTTTCGCTACCAAAATGTGTGGATACAGAGTGCAAGTCGTAGACATGACCTTGTTTTTCTTAGAAGGAGGGGGCCAAGAGAGTCTGATTCAAATGAACAGTACGTGTGATGGGTGATGGTTGTGTCTTCGTTTGGCAGCTGTAGCATACTTTGGTATGTACCACACTGCCGGGTAGACCGGGAAGTAGCCATGGCTGGGTCATTGGGGAGAATCGGGGTGCAATGGTATTCGGATTGGTGGTGTACACATAGGTTTGACAGGCTTCGCTTCGGCGAATGTCGGGGGGTTCTTGTACCTGGGGTCCTCATGGATTGCTCTGTATATGTAGAATCATCTTACACAAGTCAAGTGTAATAGTGTACCGTTTTGTACAATTTTGGAGCCTTGTGTTAGTATAAGTGTGGTATTACGATTCACTATATTCTCTTTTGTAAGGGCGTGTATAAATTTCAATGCGTACTTTTTTTTGACAAATTTGCGGTTAGAGTTAAGACCTCACTTCTAGGGTTTCAGTGTTTCAGCTTTCGCTCAATGAATGTGGACAAGTGCATGTAGGGTTTTATACCATCGACTCTGTTGCAGCACATATGGAGTGTTGTATCATTCCGTATGCCGGGCCAGTTGGTGTATTCATACACTTGCCTTAAATGGCACTGAAGGTGGTGGACCTGTGTAAGTTCCTCAGAGTCTATGACGCACACACACACACACACACACACACACACACACACACACACACACACACACACACAACAATACACTACATACATACATACATACATACATACTAACTAACTAACTAACTAACTAAC